TAGATAATACATAGCAACTTTCAACTGAGCGGTTTCACAACGCTTTAAGTACCACGTATTTATGACCTTATCTTCTGGCTTCACAGCAATTTTTCAGAAGACCCTTCCTCGACAGCGTCATCCACATGGCGAACCCCCTGTGCTTTAGAAAAGATTACGTTTTTTAAGTCTTGAGCCTTCTTGTGGCTTCGAACATGCAGATTTTTGAGTGCTCATTATTGTGCAAAATGTGACAAGGTCTGAAGTTTGTGAAATTTATTGCAGCTTCTTAAGACTCAACATACAGAATTTTATGCACCTTTCTCTATTAGCATTTGCCATAACGTCTGCGACCACTTCCTGTCATGCGCCCGCAATTACTTCATGTTATTTGTGACGTCATCTGCATTCATTCAACGATGTAATACTAACTTATTCCTACCGCTAAAATATCGAGCTGGCCCAAAATGTCAAGGATCAACTGTGATTCACTCAGAGCACTAGTTCTTTTCAGTTGAATCATATGAATATGTTTGGCCTTCGCACCGAACAGAATACGGCAATCTAAGAAAAATCCTCATTTAACCAGGAATCGACCGGGTTTTAAGTGTTTATATTCACGTAAATTTTCCAGTCAAGGTCCCACCGCATCTGACTTTTTGCGATATAGCTCTGCGCCACCATCGCGTTGACAAGCGCCCAAAAATGACATTCCACATCGTTGCTATAACTTTCATTCCATGTACACAAATTGTCCGTTTTTAGAGCTTCTACTTATTTATTTAATGCGGCTCGATAAAGAGCATAGCGATAAACGAAAAAAATTATAGTCTTATATTCACTTTGTTTCGGTACAGTGTTGGTGATGATCCGGACGTCAAAGTCAAAATTCTTTCGTACTTATTTAGAGGATCATTTTGCGTTGTCAGCAGCTTTGCGTAATGCTATCAAAGCTCTACGTGCAACGCCATAGACTTTCGTCTTCTTCGCGATGATGACAAACATGAAAAGAATTGAAGTAATTGGTTGCCACTTCAAGTCTCCGGAGCTCAATATTAGGGTCTTCGTACTGTCCGGTCACAAAAGGTAATCAGTACGTTTTCAGTGATGTTTTTGTTGATGCTACTAGTGCTAAGCTTGCATGGCAATATGAAATAGAGCTCGAGAATAGTTTTATAGTTGTGGCAATCATATTGTTATTCCAGGGATACGTGAAGGCCGAAGAATTTCACGCAACACATAAACTTTTGTAGACGCAAATATAGACACTTCACTAGTGAGCATTTGAGTAAGCAATGCTTCTCTCTCTCTGACGATCTGAAAAATGCTAAGTCAATGAGGCAACACATTAAACACACGTGATTTTTGTATCCAGCGACAATATACTAATAAATGATCTAAACTTTATCTACTACGTCGTTAACTGACGCATTTTCCAAATAACATACACCGCAGCCATCACAATCAACACAGAGGAAGCAGCAGTACGCAACGTCAAGATCTTTTCAGTCGCCGAGTGAGCCGCAATGGTCAACGTATTTACGCTTTGCAAAAGAAAATGCTTGGCATACCGAAAAAGTGGCACTGTCGTCTTTGTATCGAGCAATTGCACAAATCGCAGGAAAAGTGCGAAACAGGCAACCGAACTGAATGCCGAGGAAGCGATGAATTGAACGAAGACAAAGCTCTACGACTTTTTTTGGAAACATACAATTGCATCACTAATAAAGCGCTTGAGATTGCGGCAGTTCGATGTAACATCCTTGCAGTCGGTAGTTTAACCAAAATGATCTTGCAGAGATTCCACATCCTCGACGTCATGATTTCATGAAGCACTGGATCACGTGAAAGTGGCATTTGAAATGTTCGTACGACATGAGAACGATGAAAATCAAAGCCTGATGTCGAATGGAGTGCTAAGTAAGTCGAGGGCTGCATTTGCTTCTTGAAAATATCCTCACTCTCCTGCTTTGCTAGCGTCATACGTGTCGTAACATGCCCTAGGCGATCCCGAATGTCACTTATTTGCATTCGTCGACTTCAGAATCACAGTCAATGCTTTTTGGAAGTATTCTGAATTGAACTCGACAATAACGATAAAGACCCGCTCTGGTCATCATTAGTTGCGACTCGGGAGGCAATTGCTTCAGCATCTTCATTTGCTCTGCTCTGGATAATGGCGATAAAAATGGCAAATATGGAGATAATTTATCAGTAAAGCTTGTGTCGGTAAGCCGCTTTATGAGTGATGTCTTTATCAGTAGTTGTCGCATAAAGTGAGGCTTGAACGTTACAATATCTTTTGCGCACAATTCAGCACGATACCACTTGTAAATAGGTACAATCCATGGGTAGACCAATCCCAACAATCCATATCTCATTGCTCCCGATGCTATCATAGCCCGACGAGAAAAGAATTCATTCAGTAGTACAATAACAGCAAAGGT